TGATGGTGCAGCTTATTCTAAAACTGGTCTCACAAACAGCATACAGCGATCTAAATGCCAACTTATTTAGGTTCTTGAATAATGTTATGACTTTTACTAATGTAGAGTATACTACTGTCATTATCCTGTGCGCGCGCTTCTAGATTCAGTTATGGTGATATGTACACTCCCAGGTCTCTCTCTCTCAATAAAGGGAGATAGTTTCCCTTGTGTACTGTCTTCTGGGTATCCTGTTGCCTATTCCCATTTCCATCACCTTACACTTGTGGAGCCCCAGTAGCCATTTCTCGGACCAGTCCTGCAGCTGAAGTCACCCTAGAGAATCTTACAACCTTCATCTGTCTCAACTCTTCTCATTAGTTTTGCATCATCTGCAAACATTGGCATGTTAGACTTAACTCTTGTGAACAGGTCATTTACATAAATTAGAAACAGAATGGGTCCCAGCACAGATTCTTAAGGTATTCCAATTGTTACCCCTAGTTATTCTCAATATTCTCACTGTTACTCTGACTCCTGTCTGTTAGGTAATATTTTACCCATGTTAAGTGTCTTTCAGCTTACTCTCGCTTGCCTCTTGAGTTTGTGAGGTAAGTACCACACCTCTTGTGAGGTACTGTATCAAAGGCCTTTTTGTGCATGTATTGGTGTGTACTCGTATAATTGTGCTTGCAGGGGTTCAGCTTCAGTTCTTTGGTCCTACCTCTCAACCAACTGGTGTACAGATTTCTATGCCTATTGGGCCCTATCATTTTTACATTAAAAACTGCATGGAGTATGTCTCCACAATATCTGCCAAGTACATTCCATTTGTTAACTACTCTTACATTGATTTTTTTTCTAATATCTCTGTGGCTCCTTTGGATACTCAGTTTCCACCCGTGTCCCTTTGTGCGAGTACCACCCCATGTTAAATAATAATCGGTCTTTATCCTATCAATTTCCCTGGGAATTTTGTATGCGGTAATCATGTCTCTTCTAACTCTTGTTTTCTAGTGATATGAGGTTCACTTCCAGTAGCCTTTCCTCATGTGTGCAAGTGTGTAATTACCCAAGTGCAGTAGTTACAGGATGAGAGCTATGCTCATGGCGTCCCATCTTCCCAGTACTCTTTGTTGTATAACACTTTGAAACTACCGAGGGTTTTGGCCTCCACCACCACCACCTCACTTAAAACTGTTCGAGCCGTCTACCACTGTTTGCAAAAGAAAACTTTCAAATATTTTTTGGCACCTTTGTTTCCTTAGCTTGAATCTATCCTCTTGTTCTTGAAGTTGCTCTCTGTACTCATCTAGTTCTGCTTACAGGGGTTGAGCTCTGGCTCTTTGGTCCCCCCTCTCAACTGTCAATCAACTGGTGTACAGATTCCCGAGCCTATTGGGCTCTTATCATTTCTATATTTGAAACTGTGTATGGAGTCAGCCTCCACCACATCACTGCCTAATGCATTCCATTTACTAACTACTCTGACACTGAAAAAGTTCTAACATCCCTGTGGCTCATTTGGGTACTCGGCTTCCACCTGTGTCCCCTTGTGCGTGTACCACCCATGTTAAAAAATCCTTCCTTGTCTACCCTGTCAGTGCACCTGTGTGTGTGATGTGGTGTGTGTGTGTGTGTGTGTGTGTGTGTGTGTGTGTGTGTGTGTGTGTGTGTGTGTGTGTGTGTGTGTGTGTGTGTGTGTATTCACCTAGTTGTGTTTGCGGGGGTTGAGCTTTGCTCTTTCTGCCCGCCTCTTAACTGTCAATCAACTGTTTACTAACTACGTACGTGTGTGTGTCAATATAATATTTATTTATTTATGTCAACTCTCGAACATCACACAATGGTATATAACCATTTAGTTCTGCCTGGACACATCAAACTGCCTTCTATGAGAAATGTTTTATTTCTTGTTACCTTACTGAAAATTCCATCTATAACCAACATGTTAGTCATAATAGCCTGGATTTCAGAGGAAAACAAAAAATAGGCCCTTGCATTAATGTAAAAGATACGACTGGTTACGTTTACTTTAATGCTGCCACAGTTTAGGGCCTAAACAAGAGGACCAAAGGAACCAGAATAACAGACGACCTGCTTCCCTGTGCCACGCAAAAACCTAGGAACCAGAGAGCAATAATTTTTACCCATCACTCCTCTTACGTCAGTTTGAAATAATGTGTGCAAGGAATTTTTTTTTTATTATATATAGATATATATCTATACAGTATCTATATATATCTATCCCTGCAAAAAAAAAAAATATATATATATACACACAGTATATAGATATATAGTATATCTATAGATACAGTATATCTATATTACACATTTATATATATATAGCCAGAACTCACTATATATATATATATATATATATATATATATATATATATATATATATATATATACACACAACCAACCCTACCTAACTAACCTAACCTATCTTTATAGGTTAGGTTTGGTTAGGTCCGAAAAAGTTAGGTTAGGTTAGGTTAGGTAGGTTAGGTAGTCACACACATCATTAAACACCACAGCATTGTGATTTAATTTTCTTTTGGATATTTTCCATTCTATGCAAATATCTTCTACCTTCTAGAGGGTGAAGAATCACTAGATCACTTATTCTTTCCATCTTTATTGGACATTTTATCTAGACATTTATAAGAGTGGATACACCCCACTCTACTATTCACCCAACCCCCTTAATTGTAGGGAGCAGCAAAGGGTAGAGAGAGGTGATTGTTGCCCGACTCAGTCTTCTAGCTGTCCGCCAATGTAGGTCTTACATTTTCCCTCTGGATCAGCGGAGGACCATCTAAGAGTTGTATGAGTGAAGCTGAATTCATCTGGATGTTGATTGCTGGTGTCAGCTCCCGAATTAACACAGCTTCACACACACACGAAGCCTCCTACGATCATCTGTGCTAGTGATTGTAGGAGGCTTCATGCGCTTGAGACTGTATTTATTCGGGAAGGGAAGGAAACTAAGGAGAAAGCACCAAACCATTATGACTACATAGCACTTGGAAGTTGTCAGAATAAGGATTTGGGATGGGATGGTGGCCAACCACTTTGACAGTCAGGGATTGAATGCTGACCTGCATGAAGCGAGACCGTCGCTCTACCGTCCAGCCCAATTGATTCAGAAGCCGACACCAGTAATCAACATCCAGATGAATTCAGCTTTAAGTATACATATGTTCGATGGCCTTCCATTGATCCAGACAGAAAATGTAAGACGTACATTGGCGGACAATGGCGGACAGCTAGAAGACCAAGTCGGGCAACAATCACCTCGCCCTACCCTTCGCGTCGCCCTACAATTAAGGTGGTTAGGTGAATAGTAGAGTAGGGTGTACCCACACTTATAAAAGTCTAGATTTCTCCTTGTAAGGAACTGAATGTTCCAGTTCATTCAGTTCCAGCCCCACTCCAGTGCCAGGTAAACCCACTATGGGCTCACCATAGCTTGTGCTACTTGCACCTTTTGTTCAGAATAGCTAAATCTAAAAACCAACAACATCCTTGTAAGCTCAGTATAGCCGAGTTAGTGCAACATAGTGTACTCCTGAAGATGTCACATTGCTGACGAAACGTCGAACAATAAAAATGGAAAGATTAAGTGATCTAACGTTTCTTCAACCCTCCAGATGTTAGAAGATATTCACATAGAATGGAAAATATCCTAAAGAAAATTAATAGTAAGTCACAATGCTGTTGTGTTTAAGGGCATATGTATTAGAAAAAACCTGCTCCCAAAATATACTAATATACTAATTTTTTATATAATATATATATATATATATATATTACATAATAAAATTTTATTTTAGCATTAAGGAATTGAAAGATATTTGTCCTATAACCCTCCTGTTAATGGATAAAAAAAATTATAAGAAATGTTTCAAGAAGCATAAATGAATGTATTTAAGTCATCCAAGCTTCTCTCAACATCCACCAAGAGAAAATAATGCCCTGGAGCTAAATACTGTTGACAAAGTATCCACCACTTATTGCACCGACAGGTATAAAGCACACGGAAAAATACTGTGATATCTAACATGAGTTTAAAGCAGCGCCGCTACTGAACCAGATGTGACCCGAGCATCACACTTCAGCACAGGAACACCACACCAACCACTATTGAGCACCAGTGTTGCAACAATTAGCATCCAGAGGCAGTGGAAATGATTAGTCAACTGAATCCAGGTGCCATGCTTTAAATGCTTACAAGGGATATCAGTTCCATCCTAAGTACGTATGGGGTATACAAATACTATCAGTGGCAGCTATTTTGGTCCATTATTACAATGTGTTTGTAACTTAAACTAGAAATGAACATCTGAATGTGGAGATTTCAGTTCACGGAATGTGTGATTTACCTGGAACATCTGCAGGGGAAAAAAGAAGTTTGACAAAGGTAAATTTTATAAATCAAATCTGCTATATAAAACTAATTTTCACAACATCATAAACAACACATTAGGCAGCACAAAATATCAAGCAAATGTACTTTCCTAAAAATACACTTTGGGAAGCAGGGTTTTGCAACTGCACATGAAGAGTCAGCACCTTATTTGTATTGAGTGAGGATAGAATGGTACATTTGACAACAACAGTAATTATATTGTGCACACACAGCCTTATTCAATTTCTTAGCAAGTTATTAATGCACTCATATCAGAGGAAGATGATTTGACTGCTTTAATATACAGTATATTAATCTCTTAACTACAGTAGTTTGGTACTAAAATCTTTTTCCAAACAGTATATTAGAATGGGAAAAGAACATTTGTATAAAAAAGCCATCTGTAAAAGCATATAATATATATTTTTATGTGTCTGTAAAATTACAATATGAATTGCAATGTACCATTTTAAACTCACTTGGGGAAATTCAGAGACCGCTTGTACGGGAGCACAAGGCCAAAGGGCTTCACGATGGCCTGTCAATTTTCGAGCTATACAGTACCTGCACCTTTGATCAGAGCGCATCTAGAGGTACATAAGCTAGTTGTGCACAGTCATTGTGCACCAACCACACGATGCCTCGGCTCTCACTTGTGGGTCTCATGCTCTCGGCATCAACATTGCAGTAATTAAACTTGATAGTTTCCACAAAAATAAACACCCGAAATTATGCATCGTCGCTGGGTTACCGTCCAGCATCAGGAGCCAAGAAGTGCTGCAACCCAATGGCAGCAACAGCACAGAAGAGAGAAAACACTACCAGAATAGCAGCAGCCTTCTGCTGATCACTGAGATTGTGCCACTGCAGACCCACCTCCTAAAAAATAAAAAAATAAAAAATAAAATAAAAACATTTAATAATCTATACATCAATTATTATTTGTATGTAATAATTTATGTGCAATACTGTACTTAACAGAACTGCAAAATTTAAAATTACAGTATTATAAAATATATAGTTAAATCCTTAGACAAAGCAATATTTTTGCCATTCACTAAATGCAAGCAAGTAACCAAGATCATTAAAATAATGTACTATGTAATTACCTAATTATCTAAGTGTTCTTACAGGATGAGAGCTATGAAAGTACACTTGTGTCATGTCTCCCACACACTGTGTCGTTTAATGCTTTGAAACTGACAGTTTTGGCCTCCACCACCTCATCTAACTTAGTCCAACCGTCTACCACTCTGTTTGCAAAAGTGATTTCTCTCGCATTTCTTTGTCGGCTTTGTTTAGCTACCTTAAATATATGACCTCTTGTTCTTGAAGTGCCAGGTCTCAAGAATTCTTCCTTATCAATTTTGTTGATTCATGTTAATACTTTGTTGTTATCATATCGCTGCATTTTTGCCTATTTTCTAGTTTTGGCACATTTAATGCATCTAAATAGGTAACTTATATTTTGCTTTGGAGAAAGATGTAAACAAGCATGGATACCTCCATGCTAAGGTGAAAATGGGTACAAGGACAGTAGAAGTAAACCTCCTTAAACCCCTCCAAGTGTGAAGTAGTCTCCTCAAAGCCAGACATCATAGCTAGCAACCCGTTCTCGCAAATTCGTATAGTCAATATTGACTTATTAAATAAGTGCATAGGTGACATACTAAACATAATAGATACCCTTAAAAAGCTTCATAGAAAACACCGACCTTACCTAACCTTGTTAGTATGTTAAGATAAGCATCTTATAGCTTCGTAATTACAATTGTTACTTAACCTATTATAGGTATAGGTTAAGTAATAATTGTAATTACGAAGCGATAAGATGCTTATGTTAAAATACTAACAAGGTTAGGTAAGGTCGGTGTTTTCTATGAAGCTTTTTAAGGGTATCTATTATGTTTAGTATGTCACCTATGCACTTATTTAATAAGTCAATATTGACTATACGAATTTGCGAGAACGGGTTGCAGCTAGAGTAAGATCAGTCTTGCCCAGAGTCCATGTCTTTAGCCCTACGAACAGCACTCTCCTTGGAGCCCCTGCTCGAGTCTAACCCCATTGATGAGTTCCTTGATAAGAAAATTAAGTACCTAAGGAGGATGGAAGACAGGATATGTGACATTGATGCTCATGATGCCTTTTATCAACTCACTAGATGCCAATCTCTTCTAAAACTAATCCCTACTTTCTAAGGTACAAAGATGGCGAAGAAATAAGAAAATTCACTTTCGCAAACAGAGTGGTAGACGGTTGGAACAAGTTAGGTGAGAAGGTGGTGGAGGCCAAGACCGTCAGTAGTTTCAAACCGTTATATGACAAACAGTGCTGGGTAGACGGGACACCACGAGCATAACTCTCATCCTGTAACTACACTTAGGGAATTACACTTGGATAATTACTTACACACACACACACACACACACGTGTGAAGCAAATACGGAAGAATAAAATTGATACACAAGCAAATGAGCCACAACTGGACAGAGTTCAAAGGTTAGCAAACTCTTGGAGGAAAGACAGGGAAATCAGGTTTTGGTCTCTAGTCCCAGGTAGGCTTTTAATGACTCTAGGGCTGATGTGGCTAAACAGTATAGAACTCTCTCAATGCAATTAGCAACCAAGTGCCCTTGTTCAGCCCTCCACAATACATTACTATACAGACATTGTTATTGTATATAAAGTATTATTAAAATTGTGTTTGTGGCAGTTTCTTGTCCTGGATTGGATAATGGTTGCGTTATGTTCCTATTATTTAATGTGGCCTGGATTTCCCCCATGTTAGGTCAGGTCAGCTCAGGTTTCTTGTAACACATCCACCACATGTATACATCACAATCCTACTGCAAATATAACAATTATGTAATCCTCTACCTGGGTGGTGTTTGCAGCAGTTTTTGTAGATGTTACTGGAGCAGGTTTTGGGGTGTTGAAGAGTGCTGGAGAAGAGTAAGCACCCGCCATTGTCTCTCCATCTCCACATACTCTCACACCACAAACACGCACATAGTAGCCAGTATGAGGCTCCAAACCAGTCAGTGCATATGAAGTTTCACCTCCAGTGTATGCCTGAAATATAAGAAATCTTTGTGATACTGATACAGCATTAGTGACAAGTTATTAATGCAGCTACTATTTTCCTGTGGAATATTTTACTACGATACCCACCAGACACCATGCATGCCCTTGAAACACATTAACACAATATATATCAGTCATTATATTATGTTAGAAAATTTAACTATGCAGAATGCACTGATAAATAACTTCCTCTGGACAAACTAACTTGTGGCATTAAAAACATACCACGTAATAATCCTGATCCTTGCCAGCTTGTAGCACCTGAAGACGATACAGGATGGAGTCTTCCCCTGGACAACGCACACTACACCATTCAACAATGTGGCTTCCTTCTGCACTCTCTGTTACACGGGGAGCTGTTCAAAATAATAATAATAATAATAATTCTGTATCATTTCTGAGACCTAAGACCTGAGACCATTTCTAATACAAGGAAACAAGGTGAATAATGGACAATTTGCTTTCACACCTATCCATATCTGAACAATTCTCAAGACATTCTGATGTGACATGTAAATGGTTTAATACTAATTCAGCACATCTTGCTAGGGATGATTTGCATATTATTTAACCAGTTAAGCATCACTGGGTCTGGCTAGAAACTGGAAGGGGTGACTAAATATACACAGCCTAGCAACCAACTAGGAGTGCCTCAACAAAACTAGAGTAATAACTTAGTTCCTAAGATGATATGTATCTTGAGGTTATCTTGAGATGATTTCGGGGCTTTAGTGTCCCCGCGGCCCGGTCCTCGACCAGGCCTCCACCCCCAGGAAGCAGCCCGTGACAGCTGACTAACACCCAGGTACCTATTTTACTGCTAGGTAACAGGGGCATAGGGTGAAAGAAACTCTGCCCATTGTTTCTCGCCGGCGCCTGAGATCGAACCCAGGACCACAGGATCACAAGTCCAGCGTGCTGTCTGCTCGTCCTCCCTATGTGTTGCATATTTTTTGTACATACTGCCCACCAAGTAATCACACACCATTCTCCCAGAACATAAACCACTTGCTTATTTCCTGGTAGTGCATTGGTCTCGCCCATACTGATTAATTTCCTATCAAAACCAGCACTCGGTTAATGACATCTCAAACCTATTGTAACGTGCCTCGATTAAAATACTCAACAAAAGGCCTGGTCATACTGGTCAACTGTGGGCAGCAATAATACCTGCATGTGTATTATTATTATTAGCATATTAATATCAACATGTTGAATGTTTGCCCATTTTATATTCCAGCAATTCACAGCAGTGCATACTTTTATTGCCATCATGAAGGCTAACTCCTTATTTGCCAAATTCCTTACATCCAACTTCTACAACTGACCCCACACCCCACACACAACCCATATTTAACCACCTAACACTTCTAATTTCTTACACGCATTTTTGCAAATCATTGAACTTATACAAAAAGGCATGAAGCCAAGCCATTACATAAAAACGATCAATACTTTTGTGCATTAAATTGACAGCACATTACTAACAAAACCTCTTCATTTTTATCTAGCCAGCAGAAATCCCCCCTTCCCTCTCTCTCTCTCTCTCTCTCTCGTGTCTCCAATGCCATCACTACCACTAAATAGAACAACTTAAGGAGCAAACCTGTTTTAAAATGTACCCAACTCCAGGAGATTTTTAAATGCCCTAAAAGGTCCAATATTTATGGTCAGCAAAGGCAGCTAGTATTCCAGGTGAAGAGGAAGAATTTATATTCTAAAACATTTATGTTTATAATTAACTGTACATAAACATTTTTGTAAATCTCAATCAATTCACATTTTGCAGGTTCCATTAAAAGACACTTAACATACATCAATCTTCAAAAGAGGCAATGAATCTGTAGTACAATGATTAGTGCAGTCAGCTCACAACTGATTGGATTAAAGCTAGATTCCATTGCAGGGCTAAAATATCTGGCCACATTTACTTGCACCTGATGCCTCTGCTCACCTTGCAGCAAATAGGTACCTGGTACCCAAAAGTTAGTGACCCTTGGTTGGGTGCATCCTAGAGGTCTATTATTGTCTTAGGAAGACAATAATAAACCTAGAAAGTCCTCTTACCAAAAACAATGGGAAATGAAACCATGACCTAAGCCAGCATTTGATCAACATGGTTCCCAGCTCTAGAAATAATCTTTCATCCTTACTAATTTTTTAAACTTCTCTGAACAAAGTTTTGGCACAAGTTTCATCATATACATTCTAAACTATTTATATTTTATTTAAATTTATTGATTGATACCTGGTTGATACCTGGTTGGTGGGGTTCTGGGAGTTCTTCTACTTCATTATATACTGTATATACTATATATTTATATACAACACTTTATATAACTAATCATTATATTCCCAATTATAGGAACACATAAGAACCGATTGTTTTACATCATGGGTTCCCAATTATGGCGGTGAACAGTAAATGAACAGTGCCCAATTGTCCCATCCTCCATAGGATTTAAGCCAGGGGTCTATCTCCCTTGCCAGACCAGCACATGAAGCCATTAACCACTCCATAATTGGCTACTCTTGACATTACATTATGCAAATTGTCTCTTAATAAACAAAGCTATACTACCCCACACATGTACAACTAGGATTTCTGTGTTTTACATAAAGTGACCAGATGCTGCAGTGACAACTACTTTATCTTAAGAAAATGTCAAATGGACAATGAGAACTAATTCATTAGAACCCCTTCGATACACCGCTTCCCCCTTTACCAGTCTTGAGCTATATTAAGCATTAACAATTTTATTGAAAGATTTGTCAATGAACTTTCAATAAAAGGTTCAGATACTGTATTCAACTAACTGCAAAATAAGCATCAAGTGATATACTGTTCAAGGACATATATATAAAGCGACCACATAGTATCAATGAAAAAATGAATTGTGTAATTACTGTACTGTACCTTTAAGGGGAGGAGGAGGAGCTTTAGTAGTTGAAAGATGAGCCACCGCAGAATAAGGCCCGACACCCGCCTCATTACTGGCACAGATACGAAGACGGTACTCGGTGTTTTCTTCCAGCCTCACCACTTTATAGTTCTGGTTTGTACCGCTGTATACTTGATAAAACCTAGGTGGAGGAGCAAGGGGCATATATATATATATACACTACATAACATTTTTTTTTAACACTAAATTAATCCAACTAATCCAATTTTCTGTCACACTTAAACAGCTACATTACACAAACATAAATGCTACCTAAACAGCTACACTACATTATATCAACAGCACAAAATGTAGAACACACGTATAACCTCAGGATTAAGCACAATTAATGACAAATTAAGTAATTATATCATTTATAATAAGTTCAACTGACAGTAAAATGCTGCTCCAGTCTCTCTAACATTTTAATTATCTAGTATCTTTGTGGTTAGAAATCAACAAGGATCTGTAGTATGGAATGGTATGCAGCTTCAAATACATATCCAAGAGTGTTCAATATGTACACCTGAAGGCAAATACTGCATACACAGAGGTGCAGTCACATATTAATGCAGTTACATTCAGCTTACACTCTTCTTGTCATTCTCAAAATTTATTCCTAATTCCTACCCCAAAATATTGTCTTAATAGTACACACAAAAATTTTGTGTGTACATATTTTTAAGTATCGGGGATTTCTGTAATATACACTTTGGCTGTGGCATATTAAAGTAAATGTGAGAGGGGCAGTCCGCCTCGGTAAACAGCCAGGAGAGAGGTGCAATCAGGAGGTAATGGGTATTTGACTTGTGAGACCAGACAAGAGTGAAGGAGCAGACTGGCTATCTTGAGATTATCTTGAGGTTATCTTGAGATGATTTCGGGGCTTTTAGTGTCCCCCGCGGCCCGGTCCTCGACCAGGCCTCCACCCCCAGGAAGCAGCCCGTGACAGCTGACTAACACCCAGGTACCTATTTTACTGCTAGGTAACAGGGGCATAGGGTGAAAGAAACTCTGCCCATTGTTTCTCGCCGGCGCCCGGGATCGAACCCGGGACCACAGGATCACAAGTCCAGCGTGCTGTCCGCTCGGCCGACCGGCTCCCATGGCTGAAACGCCATGCGACGTGGGCCGTCACCTGGTGACAGTCGGGCACATCATAGTTAGGGTATTTACCCTGCGGCAATAATCATTTGCCTTGTTTACTAGGGGTGCCTACTTTCCTTCAAACACTGATGATAACTCTAGAAGCAGGTTAATTAAAAAAATCGAGATGGGGTACAACAGCAAATTACACGCACCATACGAGTCCAGTTAAAGAAAATTAAGCTCACTATGCAATAAAATCAATATTCCTATGGGTTAATATGAAATTTTATTGAATTCTGGTGTTCCAAGAAGGCTTGAACCAGGAAAACCCTTTTGTGGAAATGTTATTACTACTACCAACTAGAAATCAGAGATAGAGACCAGGTGGGTCAACTGTTAAGTTGTGAGAGCTTCTTGGCCACCTTTGCGATGCAAAGTAGTTCTTAGAAAGGTAAAACGTAAACAATTATGAACTTTGAGGTCATTCTGAGTTGACGTAAGCATTCTCCAGTTTCTCGCTGCCACCAGTATGACTCAACACATACACTTTAACCCCGCCCCCCCCCCCAATCACTAGTGCAGAATGTCTACCTGCCTTGATCTTAGTAGGACCTAACCTTAAGGCGTTACCCAGTAGGACAGCTCAATATTTTATATTTAAACTTACATCTATATCAATATACAGTGTAACTATGTACTGTATATAAACACAGCAAGGCATACATAATGAAAGAAAATGGTTCATATCATTAAATGCCATACTACTGCCACATACATTTCACCAGTTGAGAGGCGGGACCAAAGAGCCAAAGCTCAACCCCCGCAAGCACAACTAGGCGAGTACTTTTTATGCTACTAATGGAAGCTGGCAAGCATTACCTCTACCACAACCACCAATAATAAAAAACGAAACTGGAGAACTTACTCTCTGGTACCATTATGAGGATTAGTGAATTCCATCTGTAAAGAGTAGGTCAGCATGTCCAAGTTGCGTCCATCGCCCCACTTGATCTTGAGGGAATTGTAGGAAGCTTTAACAAGTTCTAAGGTGGGTGGAGCAGGAGGAAGGGGCCTAGTTGTCACTTTGTGAATACCACTGAAGCCTCCAGGACCTACACTGTTCATGGCCTGGATTCGTATTCTAAAATGAAAGATAACTAGTCTTTACCAACTTGCTCATGGTGACCACCTACACTCGGTGCAAATAAATTAATGTAAAAATACGTAAGCACACCACCATTATATCTTTGAATTAGGAAGCTTATGAAACTCAAACATAAGCTGATTTTTAAACTTGCCTGTCAACTTGACACTTTTACAATTAGATTACACAACATTAGCTTAACAATTTGGTAAAACTAGAGCACATATACAAGCAAAATTATCATAATCCATTATAAAAGTATATAAAAAATGTGATATAAAATGTAGGAATGCAAGTCAACAAAAATCAACTAGTGGAGGGAACAATGAATTAAATAATTGAACAAACCACCAGGCACAGGAGAACTGTAAACAAGGGGCGAGAGGGCCAACATGGCGGCAGACCAATGAAAAACCTCTTTCACATGAGGGGAAAAGAATAACTGAACCCAAAGAATTAAGGAAGATGCAGGGAAAAAAAAAATAATTGTTCACACAAAAACCAGGTTATGTATATATAAATTAGAAATTCCCCAAATAACCATAAGATTGAAAAGAATATTGTGCAAGAGTGATATTATATATTTTTTGTTACTAAACATGTAGTAAAAGTGCTCTTTCTTCCTAAAAATACCCAGCTTCCTAAAATGTTAGCATAGTATTTATAACAAGTATTTGGGGGAATGTATACTCAAGCCACAAATTACAAAAGCAAATGAAAACAAACATGGCAAGAGAGCAATTGGAAGGAGATAACAGATCCTTAAGATACATATAATGAGGCAACATTAGGAGTTTTGGAAAGTAATACTTCGAACCAGAAAGCCCCATACTGGCTAAAAGAAAGAGAACCAAAGGATATTAAGTAGACAGTGGCAAGTGAACCTTAATCAAAACATGTCTTAAAGACATGAGGAAGAAGTGCAGAATAAAAAGGCAAGACAAATTGTAAATGCCGGGACACAGGACACAACCAGGTCTAGTAGAGCAAGCCCATAAATGCCTTAAGCACTAAAAATATTAGGAAATATTGAATGGTAATATGTATACTATCTAGTGTCTAGCATGATTCAAATTTCAGATGAATTGTCAAGATAAATAAAGAATTAACGTTACATCTTATTAATAAAGTCAATAGAAAGCATCATGATCATAGATTACTCATCCAAGAACAAGACATTATAAGAATAGAAAATAAATTAGCAGTCATCAGTAACTTTGAGAAACATTCCAAATCAGCCTCTTAAATTGATAGTAGGCCAAGAAGGCATTAGTGGAAGCTGGAAACAAGCAACTAATAAGTGCTTGGAAATTCGTGGTCAGCAAATGGAATGCGATGAAAAATGTTAGAAGCCACCTCCATTCACAATTTTAAGGCCAGATTCAATAAAGAAATTGAATTTCAGTAAAATTAAATTAAAACAATAGGTTCAATGCTAGTAGGAAAGGCATGCACACTTCATCCCAGTCACTGTAAGGTAAGCATATCAAGATGAAAGCAACCAGGCATGCACAATATTAATGAAGTTATGCACTATAAACACGGGTACAACTTGGCAAACGGTAGAATCATAAAAAGAAACGCGTCTCTATACCTATACAAAGTTTCGGGCTGAAGATCGTTTAGCGTATATTCTGTTTCTGGTCCTGGAGTTGTGACTGTCTTATCACCCACTTCTATCACGTAATGAGTGATGGGATCACCGTGATTAGCTGGCTCTCCCCAAAGCAGTGTTACAGCCGTGGCAGCTGGGGAGGAGGAGATGTAGGCAACTGGCGCAGGTGGGGCCGCAGGAGTAGTCACTGTTGCGTGTGATGACCAAGGACCAACTCCAGCACTGTTGCTGCAACATATTCTGTAAAATACATTTATACATGAAGGAATACCAAATTGTTCTTTTCATCTTTTGCATGCAAATTCATAAGTTAAAATCAGTGAATCAAAAGTCTTACGGGCTATTCATGCCCATGCCACCTCTTGAGTGGCCTAATCTTAATCAATCAAATCAAATTGCAATACATTAAAAAAAATTTCACAATTAAAACTTATGAAAAAATCCAACAATGAATGTAATTAAATGCCCCAGTGGCTTCCCAAGATACTCAGCCTGATTCTAATTGCTGAGTTACATCGAGTAATTATGGGTCGAAAGTAATTTATGGTTGCAGATTCCCAGGCACAGATGCTGTAGGTGTGATATGGAGAGACGAGTGAATAAACATGGCATTACTAGGGCAAAACAAGTTTCAGATTTGAGAGAGACTGCCTACTGCTTCAGAAACTGTTAGATGTTGTGTAGCAGGGTAATTGAAATTCAGTTTGTCGTCATGTGAACACTAATGAATTTCCCATCTACTCTACTCTAAATTTGGGCATTTTCAATTCTCTGTTCAATTACCCGGATGGATTTTGTTTCCAAATATTTGTCAATATTTGGAGAATAAAATGCATGTCTCTGAGGCTGTACACCAGATGCCTGGGGGCTAGCTTCACCCAGCTTTCACACATGAAACATGGAGATTAGGAGTGTGCTACAGGCCAGTCAAGGTTGACCCAAGTGCCACACTAAGAAATATAAACACCTACCCCCCTTCCCCCACCCCTACCTCTACAATTTCCATGATCTAAAATAAAGGTTGTGTTTACCATAGTTAATTTTGCAACTTCAATGCTTCAAAATTACATTTTCTGAGAGAGGGGGGTAGGAAAAGGACATACGAGGGAAAGAGGGGAATGTTGGAAGAAAGAGAGAAAGGAGATGCAAGGAAAGGCGGAAAAGGAGGATATGGAAGGGCAGGCGATGAGTCACAGTAATGTGCCATCTATTGTTGGAAGCTTGCTTGAATTGATAATTGCAAAAACAATTAATAAACATCTTCAATTAAAGAGAGATTGTGTGTGTGTGTGTGTGTGTGTATTACTGTAAATCTTGCCATCTTCTGTGCACTATTACCTTCCACCCCACTAGGTTGAAGACCCAACAGGTTATCTGGTCCAATTGTATATAACTGAAATGATGTGATAACCTTGGAGGACCATTTTCAAAACAAGTCTTCATGTGATGTCCTTTACTTTTTGCAGCCTACAGTATTTGCAGTATATTAGTCATAGAACTTTCCGTTTGCACCCCGAGTGCTTGATACTTCAAATTTCAAATTGGAAAAAGACATTAGGAAATTTTAACAAATGACTATCAACAACATTCTTCACATTAAGACAACTCACCTAAAGGCATAGGTGGTAGCTGGAGCCAGGTTACGCACTTCACTGGTAGTGGCAGACCCAGTGTATGCGTTATTGAATGTCAGGTCAGACTCAACATCACCGCATGTTGACGACGACTCTGAAGACTCTGCATGAGGGCACGACACCTTGGAAAGAATAATGTGTAGTTACAGTGCCAGTATAGTACCGAATCAGACCTGTGAGGTCACTAATGGCAAAGTAAACTCAGGAATTGAGAGGATATTTATCATGAGGTCTTTAGCCACTGAAGTGTGTGATAACTTGTTTAATTAATTAGGTATCCAATTCTCACCCTGCATACTCAAACCGACTATTTCTGCGCAAGTTGTACTGGGATACAAGTAACATCGTACCCAAGGGGGGGTTCACCAGATGAAGACCTACATAATCTATCCTAACCCAATGATATACTGTATACGGTTTTGACCATCAGAAAATGAGTTGTCAAACCGTCTTGCACACAATTTTACCGTACCACTCTTAAAGTGTTCAACAAGTGTAAATAGTTCATTTAAAATGTCTTTCCATCACTGCCCACTGGATGGGGCATTGTGTGCATGACAAACACATCAAATTAAAAAACCTGCTCACTACATGTGTAAGTAGCATAGCTAAAGAGACTACTTGTGGTCATTCTTGAACCCACTGTTGATACAACAATATACATCAAACTGTGCAACTAGTTTATCAAGACTGCAACTTGCTTACCGAGATGAATTTTAGGGCACATTCCCTGAGCTCGTTATGTGCCTCTGACTTTTTCCATTACTGCCCACAGAATGGGTATGGGGTACATGTTAAATTAACTAACTTATTTTTTTGTACGAGTAGGGAAAAATTACCTGCAAGGTGCTAGAGCTTTTTGTAGCTTTCACTACAGTAATCAAGAGCTACGAAAGTAAGACGGGGTACTAATTATAAAATTTTCAAGTAATAAGCAAGTTTAACATCAACAAGTATAAAGAAAACACTCAAATGAGGGGGACGGGAACTTGTGGTAACTGGTTAATGCAGACATTATTCAAATTCAAGTGCTACCAATGCTAGCAATTTTTGTAATTATGATGACTCCTTACCTCTGCAATCTGTACATTATACTGGTCAATGCCAGCTCCATTGTTTATAGGTTCTTCCCAGGCCAGATGGACTGAGTAAGGGCTGCGACAGGCTAGATGTGGTGCATGAGGAGCATCAGGCGGACCAGCACCACTAACCACTTCCAACGGTTCAGACCATGGCCCAGGACCCATGCGGTTCACACCACGCACCAAGAATACGTATGGTCGACCAGGCAAGAGGCTATCAAAGGGCACAAATGTGCATTAGCAATGTAAAACTCTCATTAAACACCGCTAAGATGATACTTTAGAAAAATCCTTGAACATTTACAAGTAAAAATAATCAAAACAGGGATCAATAATTACATGTACTGCAAACTTTGGCCTAGAGAAATTTATATTGACATAGTAGAACCTAAATTTAAGCACAAAATTATTTTGTAAGATGTAGAAATGTATCAAGAGACACTTAAGGAATAGAAGTTAATCAAAATGTTAATAGGAACATGACAGGACACTGGAGAAGAACTTAGGAGGCATGAAAGAAAATAAAGTGTTTTCCTCAAGTTGCAATACAGGACATAACTTACCAAATTTCTATGCAAGGGTCAAATTTATAATGTGTGAGGTTATGTAATTACCAAAGTGTAGTTACAGGATCAGAGCGTCGCTCGTGGTGTCCCGTCTTCCCAGCACTCAGTCATAACGTTTTGAAATTACTGTTGTCATGAGCTCACTTTCATGTGTGCACATGAATTCAAGCCTTGCATGTCTCCACTGATTACTTTTTGCGATTCAAGAATATTTAAGCCAAAGTAAAGTTGAAAATATTTCTACTCACCTGGCAACAGTACATTCAAGATCTCGTCCACAATAAACTTGTCTTCTATCACTGTCTGGAGACATCATGTCAATACGGAATTCTGTCACAGGCGATCCACCATCAAATTCTGGATGACCTGTTGTATGAAATACAGTAATACTGAATACCTATAATGTTTTACAACATGTTTAAACATTATACATTTTGTAAATTAAAAGTTAATCTTCTCCCTACTTTTCCCAAGTTTACAAGCAACACTAATATGTTTAATCATTATTTATTTGTATTTTATTTTTTACATAAGGAGGGTTGAAGAGCATAAATTTTCTAACTTTCTCACTCACCCGGGAGAGAGAACTTGGTACTAGTCTTTTAACCAATTGCATCTGTTCACCCTGCAGTATAGTAATTTGGGACCTGGTTTTAATCTGGCTGCAAGAAAACTAATAGAGGAAGGCTTATGATAAGATGAAGAAAGGGAAAGCTTTAAAATTATAATCAGAATACTTCTGCTCCTGTCTTTTCCGATCCTGTATCAGAAGGCCTGGTCGGAGACCGGGCCACGGGGTCGTTAATCCCTAAAAGCTACACAAGATAGCCACACAAGGTCAAGGTCCCAAGGAAAAAGAAAAAGCTCCCTTGTACAGTTAATTTCAAAAAAATTTCCAAATTTTTTTTCCCAGAACACGAAATACTTATTATTTTACAATCAGCGCCACAAGATCACTTTATAAACGGGCAAACAATGAAATAATGGTCCCCAGTTCGAACAGGGGCAGTCAAGAAAGTGCCCAGTTCTCCCATCTTGCCCAAGCTCAAACCCCAATCATTCTTGATTAGAAAGCAAATGGGCAAGTGTGCTGACCAGCGTGCAATTAAAAAATATCAAGAGATTAGTTTCATGAGCCGACCAAGCTAACATCAGACCCTACCCAATAAAGATTTACAATTTTCACTACAGTATTACTGTAATACAGTAATAAAAATCTACTATGCCCTAGTGATTATCTTGATATGATTGTGTACAATACTTTTATTCATACTAGGCCAAATGTTATGCTTACCCCACTTGAGCTGCAATAAGGATGCTTTTGGCTTGCCCAATAACCGAGGAGCTGGACATACACCCGGGCATACGGCCTCAGCGGTCACAGTAGTAGTTTCACTCCAGTCGCTCATGCCCCCCAAGCTCTCGCACAGCACCCTGACACGGTAGCTTGCTCCTGGGCAAAGCTCTGTACATTCTGTCTCTGTGCTTTCTCCAGTATATACACACTCAAATCCTGTAAATATATATACATTTAGGTTACAATGATTAAAATGTATGAATATGGACTGTGAAATATTTGGGAAATGTGATTCTCTGTACGAGGGTAAGTAACAGAAGAAAAAATTACAGGTTCGAGGTTCCGGGAAAATGACAACTTTAAGAGATAAAACGTACTATTTCCATTTGTCGACAGTAATGTCAGCCACTTATGATGCACTAGTGGGCATGGCTTTGGGTAATCTCATGGCAGTAAAAAAAAAATCAACTTGGAAATGAAGCATTTCAAAATATCCATAAAGAAAAATTAAGCATTGAATTCCAAGAGATTTTCTGCTTGGGCCATCAACAGTTTTCCAAGATAACTGCTGATCCAACCGAGCATTAGGGAGATGCAGCAGGTCTTCAAGACCCACTCATGCCTACCAGAAGCCACAACTACAATTTGGCTCTCTACAAGGCAAGAGAAGCTTGGGAAACTAAGCCCTTGCTTGTTCTTTCTTGTGGAGCTTTTCTTTACTTTTTCCTTTCTGATCTCCAAGTTTGGGGATATAGGATTCTGGCCCTGGCACCTGGTAGGCAAAAGTGAGCTTCAGAAACCTGGCACAGCTCCCCAAGGCATAGATGAACCAGTGCTTTCCTTCAAAGGCTACCGAGGGAGAAACTACATATTTCTCAACATGAAAAGTATGACTTTTTAATATATGTATAGCAATTAAGAAGGAACTAAATTTACAATTGAATACAACTTTTAATACAAGGATCATAAAAGAACAAAATCAAATATCAATTACAATATACTTACCACTGCCACGATCAATATCTAATCTATAGCCAGTTACAGGAGAACCTCCATTATCAGTGGGTGAAGACCAGGCAAGTGTCAACTTTGTAGACTTAGGGCGGCCTTTTACCGTAGGGGCCGATGGCGGCTTAGGCCGATCAGGCAGCGTAGGATAGCAGGTAATATCAGAGAATGGCGAGACACCTTCCTCATTATGAGCACATAGCTGAAAATAAATGTGTGTTTTCAGTATGGAGTCATAATAATAAAAAAAATATAAAAAATAAAATGCACACAGGTACTGTACTGTATAATACAGTTTCAGTAGTGGTGTTGTACCAATTTATAGTTCAAGACTTCAGCATTTATGGTTATAAACAATACAAAAACTATCTAGTACAGTAAATTTAACTTCTTGTTTGTTCACACAATGTTTACTCACTCTAAACTTATAATCAGCATTCCTCCTCAACCCCTGACAAGTGAATCTTGTGTCCCGTCCATTGTAAACCGGACGGAAACCATAACCATTTAATGAATCTTCCATCTGCAAAGTATAGGTCTCTTCCATAGGTCTTTTCGTCCAGCCTAAACTTAGAGACGTAACCGAAGCTTGTTCCAAGACTGGAGGGGCAGGCTGGGAAGGCACCACACCACTAGTGAAAGCTATAGTCTCTGCACTATATTCACTGAAAAGAATCATAGAACTTATGTGTAGTATAACCATAGGGCAGATGGTGGGGAAAAAATAAATAAATTAAAATATTCACTGAGGTAAATCAGATTCATATGTTTATCCAGCCCATCCTTCTAAGGTTTCCCATCAAGAAACTGTCGTTCTAAAGTGCCCTTATCCTGATCTACCAAAGGACCGCCAAAACAGAGAACGAGGCAGTACTTATGTCTATTTTGCAAGCCACTACCATTTTCTAATACCACAATTTTTGGTCTTGGATAAAGTACATGTCAAATTGCAACATTCTATTAGGAGGATGTGTTGGCTATCAAAGAATGCAACGGTGCCCTCACTTAGTACTGCACGGGAACCGTAACACCCCAAAACCTTACGGCCCAAAACTTCAATTGAGAAAATTTTAGTCGACTGAAACAGGTGTCCAGACGACTTAGCCAGTGTAATGAAGAGAACAGACCGACTGCACTTGAATACCAGACAGGGCTGGGTGGCCGAGTGGACAGCGCTCTAGACTCGTGGACCTAGGGACCGGGGTTCAATACCCTCACCCGGCAGAGATAGATAGATAGATATAGAGATATATAGATATCTCTATATATGCAATGCAGGCGAGTAAATTCGGCTTGCAAAGTGTGTTGCAATCAGAGATTCGCCAAAGCAATGTTCGCTAAATCAAGGTTGTACCACTTGTCATGTGCTTGTATTTCAGTGAAGTCACTACCGGGAGAATGTGCTTTTATTCTCCTGGTAGCTGTCCATTACATGATCAGTTGAAATTAAAATGTTGCCTAGTGAAGTTTTCCCCACAGAGCATGGGAAATATTAGAGTATGAATGAAAACACTTCATATGGCTCCAATTACATCGAGTGATTTTTGTAAATGAATGCAACACTAGGAAAATGAATTGAAGTCTTGGGGTAAACAAATGAGCATGCTTTTAAACGGATCATTTTCCTTTTGAGGTGGCATGGTTTTTTTCACCCAGGTAAAGACCCGGCTACCTTTGAAAACGAGGTTTTGAGGCTGGAGCCCAAGATATAACAATTTGATTTGTCGGGGACAAGCAGTTGGTGAATATATATTCTAGGCATTCTGCAGTCTCGGGAGACTATAGAGTTGTGCTCTGGTTGTCGAGGATGGAGTGTCCTCTCCAAGGTGCAAAGCCTGGGTAGGTTAATATGGAGGAAAAGCTGTTACCCATGCATATATACAGTATATGTTAGGCTTGCATCAAGGTCAAACTACTGACCTTTCCCAGGATGCAACCCCAACAACATTTGCCGAACTTCTGAGTACTGTACCTGTTTACTGCAAGCTGAACAGGCTCATTAGGTGAAAAAGAAACCTGCCCATCCATTTCTGTCCCACCTGGGAACTGAACCCAAGATCCCCAATGGCTAGTCAAGCACGAGCCCAAATGTACTAAGAGACCCATACAGATGTGGGGAAACCTCTTCACTAAACACACACTTAATGACAGTTGAATCTTGAAGGCAGCTACTACTATATGTTTGCTGAATCAAGGTTGCACTTTATATACTGTATTTATTTACATGTTACAGGTTGATGGTGACATGAAGTAGTGTTTACACATACTGCATTTAAATTTTTATGATGAGTAATTTTTAGGTAAATGAAAATGTACTTCAAATCTTACAATGCCGATGCTATGCTCTGAGAACACTTTCAAAGCATATGGTAACCTGCAAGGAGCAGAATAAAGAGTAAATCAAGATTTTCTAAGATTTAAAATAACAGCTCTTAGAGAGACCATTTGTTAGCAACAGTGTTCTAAGAACATACAACAACGTCAAGCACCGATTTTTGCCAGGACCGACGAGTAAAAAATGTGGACGGGATGAGAAAAACTTAAGGGCTCCAGGAAACAAGTGTCCTGCATTTTGAAAAGGAGCAACATGGAAGTGGTGAACATGAACTGGCCCACGTGGCACTGTTATATGACTACAGCTAAATAAATTAGTATCACTACCCTGGGCCCACTTTTACTCATTCTAATCCTACACTGTCTCTTACCTCTTCCCATGTTCGTTAACTGCAGCAAGACGTACACGATAGCGCGTGTGGGGTTGAAGTTTAGAAATGGTGTGCTGCTTGCCCCGTCCTCTGAAGACTTCTGTCCAATCTCCACTATTGCCACACAACTCGAGAATAAATGCAGTCACACGAGAACCATTTTCTTTTGCAGGACCCCATCTAAAATTGCAAGCACTAATTAGTAACAAATTAATATAATGTATTGCATTAACAAACATGCAGAATAAAGGTCAACACCATGTATCATTCATATGTCGCCCACATTTAACATTTAAATGACCTGATTTTACACACCTTACTAGCCTCTCATCTTTCACACGACCATTACTATTTCTATCAACACACAAATCAAACTTATTGTTCAATTCCATCCTATTCCCTTTCCCTCCATGCGTTTAGAAATGTTCATGCAGGTACACTTTTCTATTCCAAATATCACTCAGTCACTTTCCCTTTCCCTCATTTTAATTTTTTTAAAGAATTCTCAATGATGCTACCAGGGAGATACACTGCACAACAATTGAGGCCTTAAGATGCAATCTATAATATGATGGGTATAAGCATTCCATCCGCTTGGGTCATCAAATATCGAGACACGAGCTCAAAGTAGTAGACCGATGTCCTACCAACCAGGTACAGTACTAGTTAGGAAGTTGTGGCCATCCACAGACTGGTTGGACGGACAATGGTCTTGTACTCTTGAGCTCGTGTTTGAATCTGTGATAATCGAAGTGGATGAAATAAGAGACCTTGTTGGCCCTGTATGACTAACCATCCTGTGAGATGGGAACTTTTAGTATCACTGCTATCTTATTCACTCTTGTGTTCATGATGATATCCTCAAAATGCACCTAGTTAACTCCACCATTCATAAAGCCAGCAAGTTTAAAAACTAATACAAGAAGATATTTTTCTCAGATGACAAACTGCAAATGTAGAAACAAGGAACAAATTCATTCTAACAGAACCATAAGGCATTCTTTCCGTCAATAACTAATTATGGCCATTCAGTCAAGGATCTGCATTTCATATTGCTCCCGTGTCCTGCCTAGATACCCATAAAGAGAAGATACTGGGAAAGATAGTATCCCCTAAACCTTAAAATAACATAACACAGCATTTTAATTAACAAAAAATTAACAAAAATAAAACTCAAAAATGTACCAACCTAAACTGTAGAGAAGTTTTTGATTTTTGAATCATTCTAGGTAGTGATGGAGCATCGGGCAGAGTAGAGTGTGTGTGGAACACGGTAACGCCACTAGAGTCCCCGCGCACACTGCCACATAAACACTCAAAACTAGGAGAACAAATATTTTATTACACTCAACTCTAAACATTACAATTACTGGAAATAATGTTTATTTTCAGAAATGTTTAAATATAATAAGGACATTGCATTATTTTCTCATTTCCTCTAAATTTCTGACATCTACTAACTACAGTACAATGCACCTTAAAAATAAAACACAGTTCACAAACAATAGATCAAATTTGCCTATTGAATTTCCCATAAAAAAAAACTCGAAGGGAATATGAAATCCAAAATCATTAATTACATAAAGAATCCACTTTTTTTTGTTTTCCTTGTACTGTACTGTACTAGTTTTGCAAAACTATTTACAATAAATATTAAACAGGCAGTTACATTAAAAGACTTTACAGTACTATAACTGTAATCTACTACCACTGGCTTAAGACCAGCCTGTGCTACAAAAAATGTAATTATTTATTTTTTGGACATATATACAATACAAATACAGAATCTTTATTAATTAGAATTTGCCACCAAAATAATTATTTATATATAACGAGTCCAAATATTAATAAACTTTCATTGTATCCAAAAATTTTGCCGACCTAAGAAATTTTCGAGCGAGCACAGAATACCAACAGCTACTCTACATTAAACTTAGGATGGTAAGGGGAACAAATCCATAAAACATTCTTTAACACTTACTAAACCCTGTACTCGGTAGCAGGTTTAAGTCCGCTAATAGTAAGCTGTGTAGCCGAGACGGACAAGTACAAGTTGTTATTTAGGAAGACCTCATACAGCAATTCAGAGACCGGCACATCTTCGTGCTGGCCACTTAAATCGGGAGAAGACCACTGGACAATGGCTTCATGGGGTGTTACATCAATTACCTGAAAATAAATCACAACCGACATCAACTAGACATGTTTTGATTGAAGCTCATCAACAGAAATCCCCAGGGCCATCAAATCGAGACATGAAAAGAGCAATGAAACGAGTACAGCTTGCTCTAAAGAATAAAGGTAACATGGCATATAATGACCAACAGTGTTTTATAATGAGAACAGGAAACATTTAGATTTTCAAGTAGACGTGTACAATGAATACACAAAAGTGTACAAGTGTACAAATATACAAAAAGCTTAAAGCACCCAAGAACAGGAACCAGGCCAGGAAGAAAGCACACAGCAGCCCCTTACTTCCCTCCCCCCTCCTTCAGCATAATGGCACAATGAGTGAGCAGCAAAATAAAGGGCCATAGACACACAAGCCAGCACCCCAGAGGAGAGCACAGGACAACGGGTCAAACAAATCTAGGAAAGCTGTTGCAGTAGTCTAAGATACCATTAAAGTGCAGGTGCTGCCCCCCTCGTGAAACCTGCGCACAACACGATGACACTACTGAATAAAGGAGAAGACATGACAGATTCGCTCACTCCCATAATGAAAGAGCAGCTTTAATGACCGCCAAAAGGTCAACACTAAGAACACGCCCCAATAGGTGACCCCCAAAAAGAGGAACACAAAAATTCCTGGGTGCTAGGTGTTATGACCATGCCAGAACCCAACCAGATCCTGTGCCTAGAATAAAAAGAAACATGCTTATTAATATCCCCCAAGAGCCAGGGACACAAGCAAAGACCTAATCAAAACTACTGTACCTGATGAATGGTGGTCACAGTGGTCATTCATATTGGGAACGGTGTGTATGGGAATAGGTATAAAAAAAAAACTTTGTATAATCCTCCTTTATCACAGCCGAGACGAGACAGAACCAGAAGAGATGGCTTCACAGAAATCTCCCCCTCTGGGCCAACAGCTTCCAAATGTGGATAGAAAGTAGTAGCATAAATGGCTTCCCTTTGCCAATGAAGCACTTCAAAGAGTGAGAAGTATAAAACTAAGACAAACCTTGCACACCACTTCATGCCCAGAAATCCTGAGCCCAGAGCTACCACAAAAAGGATACGACTCCTGAGAGTCATGGTTCACCTTGAAGGGCAAATCAACAACCCTAATATTGTAACACGGGTTCGGGTTTCTCTCTCTTTACTTCCTTCTTTCTACTCCCTCTACCCGTATTCTTACTTTTATTTCTAAACCAAGGGACTCCAAAACTTTTACCAAAGCCAACTCCACGCCACGTGGTCCTAAGACGATTGACCGACTTAGGATTCTACACCCAGTATGACGTGACCTAAGCTCTGAACAAAACCCTAGAGTCACCTCTGCTGCCACCACCAGACCAGTAATACAAGAGCAATGATCGAGGTCTGGATCGATCACGCTAATTAATCAACCTAGGGGCTTGATCCCCACTATAAACGATGACCTTGAGTGTGGAATAAATTACACGGTAATGATAATTCCGATTCGATGTTAGAATCGGCGCCCAATGCAACTCTGCCTCGTGTGGACCACGTGACCAGGACAAGTATACACATAAAACACATGGAAACAATAAAATGCAAATTAATAACAAATTTAATTTATTAAAAGAAAACTAAAACAAAATCTAAATGTGTTCACTCCCTATCACTTTAACACTCCCTACTTGACCTGAGTGGCAAATGAGAAGACTATCCCTATAATTAACAATAGCAACTATACCTTGGGCGACCACAGCTCTAGGTGTTGGGTGGTCTTGGGGAGAGGTAAGATGTTTGACCTCTCCCAGCTGCTCCCGTATTCACACTGATCTCTCTTGTCTGGACTACCCCAGACAGAACATTGTATCCTTCCGCATCGCTTACCCAGTTACTTTAGCAAGGTTAAGTTATAACAATTAAACTCTGTTGTACTTAATTGATCCAGACTGGTTGAATTATTTTACTGAATTAAATTACAAACATCTAACGGCAGAGCTGTTCCCGATCACAAAAATGGTTATTAAAACTTTGAGAAATAGTAGACCTGTCAACCCCTGATGACCTATGACCGCCGGTCACTCCGCTTTAAAAGTTAGATCTGATTCGTGACGTCACTGATGGTGACTTAAACTCAATAATTAGAATACTCTTGATATTGTACCCAGTACTATTATACAATACAATTTTAATGCAAAATGAATAAAGGCTAATTTTCTCTAAATTACTTGAATACTATAGGATGATTCATTATACGCAGATATGAACAAAGCGTCGGTTATTTCCACCGCGAATTCCCCTGGGGGTCAGGTCACCATGCGGCTCAGCTTCCCATTCTCTTTTGTCGATAAACCACTCTGGATAATTCTTACAACAGCCTAGTCTGTTACAACCCCCCCGCACAAGCACTTAGTAAACCTTGTTAATTTGTTAAAATTCACGAGGTTTAGTATCCAAACCCACAATTCAACTCATGCCACAAACAAAAGCTAACCTAACTAATAAAATTTGACAAATAATAGTCCAACATCATAATGAACATGTCCATATTTCATAAATTTCTCAGCTGTCAACTGACAGCAATCCTTCAATATCAGGAAACATACATCCTACCCTTACTGACATAGCTAAATAACATGTCCCTACTCTACCATCAAAGACTAGCTATTAAACTCTCTTGGCTCTTCACTAGCCAAGTCCATGTGTCCTCTAGAGCCGGCCACACCGTGCTCAAACCAAACATTAAAGTTATATCATCAGACTGAACTTTCAGTCATCCGGGAGCGTACTACGGAACTATCAGGTACACATCCGTGTACTAACCACTCCCCATCAAGGAACACACCTAACGTTTATTTCATGTATCTAAAAATAAAAAAATTCCTATACTACCTGTATATCACAGGTTTCAGCTGACTGTACAGCCAAGTGTTCTCACTCACTAGAAGTGTCAATGTTTATATTGGTCCGCCTCTCCTGTGTTCAAACATTCTGAAAAAAATAGCACAACATAATTTTCCATAACCGTTTGTTCTGGGCTGAGACAATTACACAGGGGCTTCGATTTTGATTACTGACCAATTTATAGAGTAAAATTCATATTTTATACCAGAATTATTTTAAATCTGTTTTTCAACATTTATAAAGAATTGATTCTAACTCTGTTTTTCAACATTTAAACAAAAGTGTCCAGATGTTCTTTACACAGATGTTCAGAGCCACTTTGTTGTTTGTATCAATTGTTCATATTGAGTAAGCGATAAAAAAAAATCGATGCTGCTGGATGCTGAATGTAGTCGCTGACGATGACGGTGTCGATCTTGCTTCTCCCCATGTGTAGACATCAATACCTGGTCCTCTTGTACTCCCATCCGGTACTCCTGAATGACGACAGAGTGTAGTAGAGCGGAGTGACAAGTGACAGCTGTAGAATACTGTTACTTCGGCCATTAATCTTGCTCTCGACAGTCCACACGCCTTCGTATCAATCACAGTTCACACGGTAGTCTTGATGTTAAACTTGTCGCAGATGACCACAGCAGAGCAGAACTGGATGTACCAACGGTGTCTCTTAGCAGGAGTGATGTTAGAAGGTCGTAGAGGCGGGTTGCTTGTTTGCAGAACAGGTGAATCTCGTCTTCCATCATTGCTCACGTCATCTCAGGCGTTTCTTGATGTCACCAGGTTACTAGGCCGTAAACACCAACTGTGCATACCCTCGTACCGCCGACTTTAGGCCAAAGGAGACAATTTTGCGACCTTCTATTGGCGAGTCCCGGTACTCTGTAGGGAAACCGTGCCTTCCACCTGTGACCGCCTTACTTCTGCTTTCTTGTTACTTCAGATGACGTAATCATTAATCTTCCGGCGAAATTCTTGAGTACTGCTACGTGCTTTCCATTTCTTGACCTCTCCTCCAACACTGCTGGAATGACTGCAGTCTTGATGACGCAGCAGGTGGGTAGTGGTGATCTCGAGACAGCTACCCCGGCGTTGTATGGCACCTCCGGTGACTGCTATAATGTGGACAGCTCGCTGGCCCTGACAACCTCGTTAGTGACGTGAGGCGTCGGCCGGGTGACTCTTGGACAGTCACTCATCCCCGAAGTAACTGATGTATGGGTTACTGGGTCTAGTGGGGGGAGGGCTTTGTGTAACGTGCCTCCCCCCTCGGTCTTTACAGACAAGGGTTCACGTGTGGCTGGAACAACTGGGTCGGTGTACCAATCAGACCTGGGAACAGACAGACACAACACAGCGGAAGCATAGATATACTCTGGGTTTGGTGGAGGTGGAACCCCAGAGCACGGTAAAAGTTGCTACCTGAGTCAAGTATAGACATAGTACATCTCATTGCCTTTACAGGAAAATCTAATGAATACTAAATTATACTAACTAGGGAAGTTACTTTACTGTACAGCGCGAGATCTCGTCACCATAGGGTGGCGAGACTGCACCTGACTACTGATGAGCGATGACAGAGGGTCATCCTCATCTTCTGACTCGTCGGTGAAGCCATGAGTCAGCACTGCTGAGTCAGGAACTAGACCCGCTGAAGGCAGTTCTAATTCCTCTCTAGCATGATATTGTTTCAATTTATTTACATGAATTGTCCTTTCCACCTGGTCCTCGAACACTCCTTTTATAACAAGATTAACCGGCCCCGCCCTTTTAATTACTCTATAGGGTCCTCGCCACCTCGGAGCTAGCTTCCTGCTCTGATTGGCGGGCGCAGCCTCATTCACTCTCAATACGAGGCTTCCTTCCGTCAACTCAAGAGGGCGCACTTTCTTGTCATAAAAATGAGCATACCGAGTCCGTGCCTTCTTGGACGCTTCAGCTGCAATATTCCATGCATTTCTCATTTTTCCAAGGACCTCTGAAGGATAGTCCTCCCCGTATGCAACATTATGTCTGTTAAGCAGACCTGACGGGAAATTGCATGAATTACCAGTAAACAAATGAAGTGGTTGGGTGTTAATTGATTGGTGGATGGCAGTATTCAAGGCGAACTGAACATAGGG